CAGAGGCGCCCTTGGGACTGCACGCTCCGAGGCACCACCGGAGATGCGCGCGTGCTCGGAGGCGGCGCCGTTTGCGGATGCGCACTCGCTTGCGCCGTCGGGGATGCGCGCGCTCCGGGGTACCGTCGGGGATGCGCGCGCTCGGAGGCGCCGATAGGGATGCGCGCCCCTGGGCACCGTCTGGCAGGCTCAGAGGCGCCGTCGCGGGGCGCCGTCCGGGATGCGGATGCGCTGGCCCCGATGCGCTCGGCGTGCGCGCTGCAGGGCGCATCGGGTGTCCGCGTCGGGCCGGGCCGGGCCCCGCCTGCCGCCTGCCCCCCTCCCCTCCCCTCCCCTCCCCTCGGCTGCGCGGGCCCGGCCCGTTGCCCGGAGCTCAGCGGGCAGCGGCTGCTCCCGCCGCGCGGTCGGGGGAGGCGCGGGGCCGGGCCGGCGCGGGGGCGGCGCGGACGCTCCTCCCGCCGAGCGGGGCGGTGGCGGGCGCGGAGGGCGCGGGCGCGGCCGGCGGGGGTCCCCCGGGGGCGGCCTGAAAGGACCGCGCGCTCACCAGCTGACAGCGCGTGCCCCGCTCCCGCCGCGGCCCGCCCGCTATTGTCCGCGCGCTCTAATTAAGCCACCCCCACGCTCCGCGCCGCCCGTCGCCCCCGCGCCCCCTCCCCGCTCCTCCGCTCCCCTCTCCTCCCCTCCCCTCGCTCCCGGGCCCTTAACCCGTTCCTTCTCGCGCCCGGGACAGCCGCGGGCCGTGCACGGCCTGGACGTGAGCGGGGCGCGTCCGCCCGGGGGGCCACTGGACCAGCTTGGCCCCTGGGTGCGCCCACCCTGCCGTCCGATTTCCCCTCGCTTCTCCCCAAATTAATCCAGCTCAAGAACCGGGAGTGAACTCTGAGCTGTCCCTGCTGATGTTTCTAGATTGCCCTCGAGGAGTCTGGAAGTTGACGAGGGCGATGGAGCCTTGGCATCTCCAACTGGAACCGGAGTTGGGAACTGCCGAGGACTCAGGGTCCGCTCTCTCTGTCTCTCGAGCTCTCACAGGCTCGGAGGTGGGAGGCGGTTGGAAGACGTGCCTTCCTAGAAGGCTCCCAACTCGCTCCCTTGGCTCCAAATTTAAATCGCCCCAAATCAATAAAAAAAAAAAAAAAGGCCTAATGAAACCGGTCCTGCGTTGATTTATTAAGGAAGCGAATTACCCCCTCCCCATCCCACCCCCGACCGCCGCCGCCGCCCCCCAGATCAAGCCGGACTGGCAGTTAGCAGTGTCCCACAGACAACGTGAAAAATCTTGCCGGTTGCCAAAAACGGTCTTTCTCGAGCGCTCTGTGCAACGAAATGAGTTTCCTCAAAGGAGCAGCGAAGTCCTTCGTAAATAAAAAGCGGCCGTGAGAGGCGAAGCCAAGACAAAATATACAGCAACACGCAGAAAGTACGCGAGGCTCTAGCCAGTAACCATCAAGACTGCAAAGGGCTGCCCCATGATGATTTCTCTCTATCTTCTCGACTTTCAGAAACGCTGCTCCTTTGTTTGTTTGGGGGATATTAAGCACGCTTAACTTGCGCACAGAGCCGATTCCTTTGCTAGTATCTTGGATACTTGGATCTGACTTTGGAAGGTAGAAGCTAATTGCTAATAATAGAGAGAAAGGACCCAGTCAGCATGGCAGGAGTGGGCTGGCATATGGGGAATGAGCACTCAGAAATACTCAATATTCACGTTTCCAAAATATTAATGAGATTATAGCAACCTGCAGCTCTACGTTACAGCTTGTTAATGGAGTGTAAGAAAGCGAGCTGCCAGACATTTGTCATGCAAACTCCAACCTTAAAAATGGAAATGTGATTGTATATCTCTTTTCAAGAAACGCCAGCATAAAAAAGAGGGCAGAAATGGAAGGAAGGAAGGAAGGAAGGAAGGAAGGAAGGAAGGAAGGAGAGGACGTTCAAGTCCTCCTTTGAAGTTTGAGTTCTTCATTTACCACTGAGTGATCTGGGTTTTTGTGCCTGTTCTGAGAGTTTAGAAAGAATTCCTATTCACTTTTCAGTAGTGTGCTGTAAACTCCCCTGCCTAATTTTCCATGGAAATTGCTTTTCTCTGAGAAGAAACGAAGTTGGCATCATCTCTAATTCATACATGGTAATTAATATAAAAATATGAATAGCTACTCATTATTGCACAAGATCATAAAAAAATCACACACCCTGAACCTTGTTGTTCCTATTTATAGTATTTTTTTAAGGGAGATATTGGTGTCTACATCGACCGACTGTTCAGCAGCTGTGAGCTGGCACTCTGGATACTGGCACTTTCTAGGGGGGTAATTTCGGGGTGAGATGGAGACCAAAGTTTTTCATTTACGAAAGAGGAAAAGGAAGATGCCCCAAATGTCATTTCTGTGCCAAAGTTTCTAGGAGTTCATGAAAATTAACTCGGAAGCCTTCCCCTTCCTTCTGATTGATACAATAGGAGCAAAGATGATAGTTTGGGAAAATGAAATATAGTTTTCTTTGAGGGGAAAAAAAAAACGATCATTTTCCTGGCTGTTTCCGAGTAGGCGAAGCAAGAGGATTTGGGTCCTCGACTCCAACCCCCCCCACCCCCCCACCCCACCCCACCCCACCCCCGTGTGAGCACCCAGACACACGGAGCCGACTGGCTATTCGAAATCTGCCCGTGCCGGTCCGCAGAGCAGCCCGAGAGCCCGCGTCTCTGCTTCTGGCGAACAGGAGGAACCGTGTTGGCCGCAATTGCTTGATTGGTTCGGCAGCTGAAGAGCCCTGATGTCTATCGCGAGCACTGCAAGCCCCGGGCCGCCAAAGGTTATCTACGGAACAGGTGCCAGGTTTCTGCCCCTGGAAAGTGTCTGAGCCGCTGCTGCTCGCTTCTTTCAGAGAAGCTTTCAGAGGCTCTCGGCTTCCTCTGTCATTGTGGCTTCAGCAAAAAGCCACGGATACCTGGGGCCTTGGGAAAGCAGCTCCAGGCCCCCCCTGCTCAGTCAGAAACACTCCTACGCCAGGGTACTTTTCCTGCAATCCCAATTAGTATATGTGTAATAGAAACAGCCTTCTCTAATTCCTTCCCTCCCTTCCTTCCTTCCTTCTTTCCTTCCTTTCTTTCTTCCTTGAAGGGGGGAAACACAGCTGGTGGTGCTCACAGCTTACTCCTGGCTTGATGCTCAGGGATCGCTGCTGGCAGGCTCCTGGGACCAGATGGAGTGCGGGAATTAAAGCCGGGTTGACCGCGTGCAAGGAGAACACCCTGCCCACTGTACTATCACTCCTCCTCTCTCCATGCCCCTATCATTGTTTTTTCCAGTGAAAAAACACAAAACATAACAAGATCTGGCTCAAAACCAACCTCTCAAACTCAGCGATGTTCATACAGCGGATAACGGTCCTATCCGATTTTCAGTCTTAGAGGTTCTACTCTCATACTTGACAATCAAGTATCTCGCAAATTCTGCTCATTTCTATCTCCACACAGTTCCTATATGAGCCTTCTTAAAATACAATCTTAAGACCAGAAACACGGTTTTCCTTAGTAGGGACTTGGAGATGAGAGCCACAGCACTGACCGGGTCTGACTCCAATTGGCTCCAAAACGTAGCTAAAAGTTTTTCTACATAGAATCAAAGACAAAATCGATGTGAACATTATTTTTTTATACTGGGAGAAGCAAAATTGTTCGGACAAAGAAGTATGAGGTCGGGGCAACAACTTTCTAGGACAACCGCAAATTTGTAATTTTTGAGTCAATAAACCCTACGCTCAAGTTCTTTTCCATTGTTCTCCGTGTAGTCTTTTGCATCTTAACTTGCCACATGCAAGCCATCCTGTGTACCTCACACACACACACACACACACACACTTTCATGACGGATGCATATTTGAAAATGCCTAAACTTTTCTCTTGAGTCTCTCACTCCTGGCTAGTCCCTAGGAGAACCTGCCTCTCCCTTCGCAGAAATAAGTGAAAAGCTCCTGGTTACTCCCAGACAAAAGTGCTGTACGTGCGGAAGAATTTTATGCCACAGTTAAAGACTGGAGTGCGTTCTGTGGAGGGTTTCTGGCTGGGACTTTAACAAGGGACGGCAAAAACTTCATTTCTTCTAAACCAGAAGGCAAGAATTTGCATGTAACAGATTTCGTTCAGGTCTCCAGAGTCATTATTAAACGTGCTTTTCCATGCTCATAGAACAGAATAAGTGACCAAGCACAGTCGTTTTCACGTTTATTTTTTTTTGTCATTTGCAAGTGGAAACACATAAAACAATGGCAGTTGGACTTGCTAAATGAAAATAAAATGATCTCATGTAGAAAACGTAAAAAACGAATCAAGTAAAAACGGTAGCAAACACGCGATAATAAATAAGTTTTCTAAGGTTAACAAAGCAAAATAAAATGGACGGGATGCTTTTGACACTACTAGACGTGGAGGTCTGTTTTTTTTTTCTTTTTGAAAACTTTTTCGCTTTTAAACAAACATTTGCAAAGAGCTAAGGATCGTAAGTGGCCCCCCTTGGAAACAGAACAAGACTGGTCTGCAGTTGGCAGTTAGTTCGTTCGTTCGTCCTGGAACGGAGCCGCGGCTCCAGCAGCGTTTGGGTAAAGTGCGTGCACCGAGTTTTCCGAAAAGCCGCCACACGGTTCTCCGTTCTCGGTTCTCGGGACCCGACCTGCTCGCCGGGCGGTTCGCGCGCGCTCTGCAAACCTCCCGGCCGCCGGCCGCCCGCTCCCGCCGGGTCCCGTCGTCCCCGAGCCAGGCCCGCGTCCCGGGGGGTGGGCAGCGTCTCTGTGGCCTTTCCAAACGCATCCTTGCGAACGGGACGCTCCCCCGCACCGGTGCGCGCGCGATCTCGGGGAGACAGACGTTAGTTAGCAGCGTGTTGGCAGGAGAGACGGGCCGGCCGCGGGGCGCACCCCGGCCCCGGGGCCCGGCGGGTCCCCGACGTCCGTCCGTCGGTCCGGCGCGGCGTGGCGTGGGGAGCGCAGGGGGCGCGCGCGCGCCCGCCCTAGGTGGCCTCGTCCGAGTCGCTGTAGTGGGAGCGCGGGGAGAACTCGCCGTCGCTGCGGTGCGAGCGCGGGGACGTCTTGCTGGGGTCGTCGGGGCCCGCCAGGCCCTTCTGCGCCACCACGGCCGCCAGCGCGCCGCCCTCGAAGGCCGCCGCCAGGTGCAGCGCGCCCAGGGGGCCCGCGTAGCCGCCAACGCCGCCGCCGCTCGCGGCCGGGGCGCGCGCGGGGCCCGGGGCGCGCGGGGCGCGCGGCGCGCGGGGGTCGCAGCCCGGCTCGGGCGCGGGCGCGGGCGGCGGCAGCGGCGGCAGCGCGGGCGGCGGCGGCAGCAGCGCGGGGCCCGGCGGCGCGGGGTCCCCGGCGGGCGCCTGCAGCAGCTCGGACAGCGCGTTGATGTAGATCTGCGCCATCTGCAGCGTCTCGTACTTGGAGAGCTTCTTGTCGTTGTTGAAGGACGGGATGACGTTGCGCAGCTGGTCGAAGGCGTGGTTGAGCCCGTGCATGCGGCGCCGCTCGCGCGCGTTGGCCGCCAGCCGCCGCTGCTTCTGCACCCCGCTCGCCGGCGCCGCCGCCGGGACCCCCGCGGCCCCCGGCAGCCCCGCGCCCGCCGCCGCCGCCCGGCGCGCCGCACACGCCGGCTCGCGCGCCCGGCCCGGCGCGCCGCCCCGGCCCGGGGTCCCGCGCGCGTCGGGGCCGCCCCGGGCCGCGGGGCCGCCGCCGGGCGGCTCTCCGGGCTGGGCGCGGGCGGCGCGCGCCGGGCACAGGCCGTGCAGCGCGGGCAGCCAGGCGCGGGGGTCGCCGCCGTCCAGCAGCGCCAGCTCGCCGGGGTCCCGCGCGGCGGCGGCGGCGGCGGCGGCGGCCCAGGGCAGCGCGGGCGGCGGCGGCGGGCGCGACATCGCGGCGGCGGCGTCCCCGTCCCGGTCCCCGTCCCGGTCGCCGTCCCGGGCGCGTGCTCCGCCGGCGCCCGGGGCCGCCGCCCGCGCCCCTTTAAGGCCGGCACGCGCCGCCGCCCCCGCGCCCCCGCCCCCGCCGGGCCGCGCCCCCGCCTCCGCGCGCCGGTCGCGTGTGGCGCAGCCAATGGGGGCGCGGCCCGGCGCGTGCGGGCGCCCAATGGGCGCGCGGCCCGACGCCACCGGCCCGCGGCGGCCGCCCGGGGTGGGGACGCGCGTGCGGGGCTCGGGGCGGGCCGCGCGGCGGGGGTGCGCGCGTGGGCGTGCGCCTGCGGGACTCTGCGGGTGCAGGGCGTGTGTGCGGTTGTGCTGTGTGCGTGTGAGTGTGTGTGCAGGACTGCGGGTGCAGGGTATGCGCGCGGGACTCTGGGTGTGCGTGCGTGTGCCTGCGTGCAGGACTGTGCGGGTGCAGGGCGTGTGTGTGTGTGTGTGTGTGTAGGACTGCGGGTGCAGGATACGCGCGCAGGACTCTGTGTGTGTGTGCGCGTGCGTCCGTGTGCCTGCCTGTAGGACTCTGCGGGTGCAGGGCGTGTGTGCGGTTGTGTGTGCGTGTGTGTGTGTGTGCAGGACTGCGGGTTCAGGATACGCGCGCAGGACTCTGTGTGTGTGTGCGTGTGGGCGTGTGCGCGCGTGCGTCTGTGTGCCTGCCTGTAGGACTCTGCGGGTGCAGGGCGCGTGTGCGTGTGTGCAGGACTGCGGGTTCAGGATACGCGGGCAGGACTCTGTGTGTGTGTGTGTGTGTGTGTGTGTGTGTGCGCGCGCGCGTGCGTCCGTGTGCCTGCCTGTAGGACTGTGCGGGTGCAGGGTGTGTGTGCGGTTGTGTGTGCGTGTGTGTGTGCAGGACTGCGGGTGCAGGATATGCACGCGGGACTCTGTGTGTGTGTGCGTGCAGGACCGTGTGTGCGCGCCCGTGGGACGGCGGGTGTGTGAGTGCGTGCAGCACTGTGCACGTGGCCAGGCGTGCGCGCGGGTCCCTGCGGGCGCCCTCTCGGTGCTTTCCAAGCGGACCTGGCGCGCGGGGCGGTTCCAGCGCACTCAAAGGGGCCCCGGGTGCCTGCCGAGTCGCCCAGCCCGGCCCCGCACCCAGCGGCCAGCCCGGTCGGACCAGCACAGACCTGGGTGCGGAGCTCCAGGAGGCGGACCCGGGAGGCCCCAGGACCAGGAACGGCCCGGGTCCAGCCCGCGGGCAGGTGTCCAGGGCCCAGGCGACCCCGCCTTCTCGCTCTGGCACCCCTCAAATACCCGCCCATGTGGCACCGCGCAGCCCCCTGCATCTGGGGCTGCGTGCCCGGCCCCGCACTCACGCGGACACCGCACACCCTCCGCATGACAACATACATCGCACACACCCCACAGCACACACCCCAGACTACGCACAGCAAGCACGCACAGACTGCACCGCGCTCATCCCTACACCACACACCACACCCCACCTGCACACAGCACACACGTACCACAACACACTTGCGCTCACCACACACACCCCAAACTTGCACACACCGCACACCAACACCACTTACCTTATATGCCACGCAGACGGCACACAGACCACACCACTCCCGCATGTACGACACACCACACACACCAACACACACCGCACACCATATAGCGCGCACCACACAGCACAGACACACGGACACACACGGCACACCACACACACGCACGCCGCGCTCACTCTTGCACACAGCCCGCACTCCCGCGTGTGCGCGCCCCCCTCTGTGGGATTAGGAGGCTCCCAGCGCACACCCTAGCGCCGGGCAGCCGCGCCTTGGTCCCCGGCGCGCCCCGGGGTGCTCTCCTGCCCGGTGCCCGGCGTCCCCGTGGGTGCTCTCCTGCCGGTCCCCAGCGCGCCCCGGGGTCCCCTCCTGCCCGGCGCCCCCTCTGCCCCCACCCCGTGCCCTCCTGCCCGTTCGGCGGGGCAGAGCCGGGCTGTTGCGCTCGCTGGCCCAGCTCCCCGGCGAGGGCAGGGCGCCGGGGGCTCCCGAGGAGTCCGCTCCGAGGGTCGGGACCCGCAGGCCCTCAGGGCGGGCTCCTTGCAACCAGCTAGCGGCAGCCCCAGGGACCCGCGGCTTCTCCGGGATGGACCGGTCCTGGGCTAACCTTGGTCACCGCCTGTGTCCTCTGCATCAGGAGCAGAGCAGGTCCTGCCGGACTCTCTCTGGACCCCCGCCCCGCGGAGCGTCTGCGTCCCACCGGAGTTGGCGTTCCCGTTCCCGAGTCCTCCAGGCACGCCGCAGGGATGCTTAGCTGTCCTTCCCCGCCTTGCCCCCGGCTGGGGCACAAAACAGGAGCAGACGTTAAGAATCTGGGCATGGGGGACGCTCCCGTGTGATGTGGAACATTGTATGCGGAGAGCGATGGGGTTAACATTATTGCATACCACCGTGCCCACAACTAAAACTAAATAAGTAAAAAATATAGAAACGATGAAGGACTGAAGAAAGAAAAAGGCAGAGAGGCTAGCCCTGCGCTCAGATGTAAATATTTACTTAGATTCTGCTGAAATGAGTGAGATGTTTCAGACACCCGGAAATATCACAACAGTCCAAATCTAACCTCTGATGAGGACAAAGAAAACTGATCACTTGACTTCCCATTAATCGTTGCTCAAGCGGGCAGCAGTAACATCTCCATTTGTCCCTGTCGCGTGCTAGTGTAGCCCAATGGTGGTGTCTGTTCGTCCTAGGAACACGAAGAGCCTCAGACTGATAGTTCATGATCTTGATGAAAAGAAAACTCATCTGGTATATTTTTGGAGAGAAAAAAAATTCCCCAACTTTAGGTAATTAGGAATCAACTATTGGAATATTGGAATCGACTACTGATGCCGATTCTCTTAGTACTGCTGCCATAGGAAGCCAGTTACTTTAAAGATAACTCACATGGGGCTGGAGAGACAGCACAGCGGGTGCTGTTTGGTCCCAGTATCCTATATGGTGCCCCCAGCACTGTCAGGAGTGATCCCTGAGGGCAGAGTCAGGTATTAACCCCTGAGCACTTACGGGCGTGGTCTCCAGACCAAATTAACAGCAACAACAATGAGAGTGGTAACTGTTAGTAGCTATGCGTGTCAGAGAAATGCAACTTTCAGAAAAAGGATTACTCACCTTTACTTTATATACATAAAGTACTACTGTGAGTAGTCTGGAATGGTGAGTCATGCATGCAGTATCTGGTTAGTCAGACATTCACGGCCTATCCCCTGAAAGTTACTCCTACTTACTGGAAGGTACTCCTAGGTACTTCTGCATGATGCCACCACCAACTGTGTAGAGTCCTCAGACTTACACGGGCTTGTTACCTCAACATTTTTTTCTGTGACTTGACAGCGCATCTGCCAAATACTCACTTTCCTCTGAGTTTAGACAGTTTTATGAGACGTAGCTGAATCATTGCCAAATCATACAGATCATCAGCACTAATTTTCAGGGGTAGAAAACCCGGAGTAAAGTGCGCGGAGTCAGGCTAGAGAGGGCCACTACCCCTGCAGAGGCCACGGCAGTGGGTGACCACTAAGTCCCGAGCATGTCCCAGGGGTGGCAGCTCAGAAGACTCTGGCAGCTAAGCAGAGAGAGGAGTTCTGTGTTCCTACAGGGTGAGAGGAGACCTGGGTTAGTAACACCCAGAAATATTCTTGGAAAGAGTATTTGAGGACAATTAGAGTAAGTTTTTTTTTTTCACCATCAAAGGAGGAGGTTACAGATACAAAAATGGAGAGAGTGTGAGATTTGGAGATTTTGATATGAAATATGGGTTTCAATACGTGTAGAGTAATAAATATAGATAGTATAGATGAAAGTGTCTAAATATATTCCCTACCTTTTTTTTTTCCTTTTCATTTTCAGGGTCCAGATAAGCAATGAGCAAGCTAGATCCAAGATGTCGATTTTTAAGTAAAACTGTTCCTGGCAAAAGAACCTGCGTTCTTGGAGAAATGGGTGGATGGCAGGGACGAGGCATAAAAATCATGACGTATATCATGTTGGTAAGTACCATGCTGAGGTCGCATGTCTGAAGTGAGAGTGCTCAGGGAAGGATGGGGACCTGTGCACAGAATACAGGAGCTGTTTTGAAGAGTCTTCTGCTAATAAAATAGGACAACAGAAGCTCAAACTATGTAATAACAATAGATTTCCTGGCCTTGAGAAATCACAATCACAACCATCCTGTTATTCGTCGAGTGCCTCGAGCAGGCCCCAGTAACATCTCCTTCGTCCTAGCCCTGAGACTTTTAAAAAAAGCGCCATATTCAAGGCTCTTTCAGAGTTAGGAAAATGAGACCCTTCATTGTTACTGGTATTTGGCATATTGGGTACGCCACGGGGAGTTTGCCAGACTCTGCCGTGTGGGCAGGCTACATTCATAGTCTGCCAGTTTGTCCAAAGTAGAAATGAGATAATAAGATGTCGTTTCCGGGAGCTGGGTTTTGTAGTCTCTGGGTCTTGTCCGTTGATGGGATTACACGGTGCCAGAGGGCCAGTTGGTGGGTGTGACCCCCGCTTACTGGAATTTGGAGGATCTAGGTGGAGGATGCTCAGCCCCGATCCGAGTATGCTTGGAGATCTCAGCCCCAGGACCTGCGTACCTTTGTTCCTCTGCCGGTACCTTCATGTGTGTGGAGAGTGGTCGCAGCATGGGGGTGGTCTTGAGAAATAGGTCTCTGAATCCTTAGAGACTAATATAATATAAACTGCATTAAGGGTTTGTTAATAATAAAGATATGCCTTGATTAGAAATGGAGGACAACGTTATCTACTGCTGTAGGGAAGAAGGCAGAGGCAATGTAAGTGACCAAATTCATGTCACCGGCATTGGGACAAATCAAATTTGTGTGTGATCATTTGGGTGCGGATAGCACAGCATCCTCAGATCGTTACTCCCAAAGATGCATACCCAAATCCAGGGAAACAGGAGTTCCTTCTAGTTTGTCTTTTTGGGGGGCCTTTCAGGTGCTGCACAGGAAGTCCAGGGAGATTCCCGGCAATTGTCAGGAAACCAGCCTTGCGCTTTCACGCAAAGGCCCAAGTGTGCAGCACTGCTCAGCCCTTGGTTCCAGGGACGGCTCAGCCCACCTTGGAATCGCGCAAAGTTTTCAGGGCTACAGGTAGCCGTGCTGGGGGTGAAAAGGTTCCAGAAGGCTCTAGACCTACACCAGGTAATCAGGGGAGCACGTGATTCCAGGGACAGAACCAGGGTTGGGTGACACTAACGGCATGTGTCCCAGCCCCTTACAATCTCTCTGGTTCCCTTAGAGTTGTTCTATAGGGCCCATCTGGGCTGGTTATCCCAGACCCTGGGCTGCCTCTCTGGTTCCCTTAGAAATTAACCTGTATGGACTGGTTATCCTAAACCCTGGACTTTCTGGTTCCATTAGAAATTAACCCATCTGGACTGGTTAATTCTTTTCTTAAAGTTGTCTCCTTGTTGGGGCTGGGACGATAGCACAACAGGTAGGGTGTTTGCCCTGCACGTAGCCAACCCGGGTTCGACTCCCAGCATCCTATATGGTCCCCTGAGCACCGCCAGGAGTAATTCCTGAGTGCATGAGCCTGGAGTAACCCCTGAGCATTGTCGGGTGTGACCCAAAAAGAAAAAAAATGTTGTCTCCTTGTTGATTTTCTTTGCGATTTAGTTGATGCTCCTGGGTGGGTCTGGAGCATTGACATTCCCTAGTAACTACTGGTCTGCTATCAGTGTCAGTCTTTAGGTCTGATGATAATTGCTTTATCTAATTTGCTGCTACTTTGTCTGGCACATATATGTATAGGTATGTCCTCTTAATCATTATAAAATGACTGTCCTGCCCCTTGCTACATTTTTTAAAGCCTTGCATCTTTTTCTCCCCTTTCCCATCCATTATTGTTGTAGATATTCTGATGGAAGAGGTCACACAAAGTTGTTTGCGATACTTGCACACTTGGAATCACCCCGAAGTTATAAACCCTGAACACATAGTGGTCATGGACACTTCGCAGCTTGAGCAGTACAGGAAATATGGACTATGATGGTGACCTCCAAGCTTCCCATATCCCTGCCCCCATCCAGTAGGCTGGGTTCCACCCCTGGCTGGCTCTTTAACTGTAGTCCTGTGACGTCGTAGGGGTCAAACCTGTGGAACCTCCAGCATCCAAGACTCATCAGCATGTTTTAGTCACCTGGGAGTGGGGGGGCGGGGGGGACACACGTACCTGGCACTGCACGACCTCTGAGCACCACTTTTATGGTCTAAACAGGGACAATCCCACATGCAGAGTTGGGCTGAGTATCACTAGACGTAGCCCCTGGGCCACTAAACCCTGCTTGGGAGACCACCGCCTCCAAAACACACAAGATTACATCAGCACTGGAAGGAAAGGCCTTTAGCTCAATGCGTAGAAATAAGCGTAACATTGAGGCCAAGGAATCCACCTCGATTAAAGGGTCTATACAAAATTCTAGGGGAAGAGTTCTAATGAATAGAACTAAGGAAACTACCAAGAATTCAGATGGCAGGTGCTTGCTGAGATTAAAACCATGGAGGAACACAAGGAGGTGTTGGTCAGGGAAGAAGTCTTCAAGCAAGGCA